GACCTTCATATCCAGCTCTGCTATTGCATACAAACCACTGGTGAACAGTGCATCTGTCTTCCTTTGCTTTCCTCTTCCCTCACTTGCTTCCCTAAGGATTAATTTACTTGAATAGGGGCTGTTCTCCCCTGTGCTGCTCTGTGGCTGGCTTGCTGTCATTGTCCTGCTGGGTGCCCAGATGCTCAGGGCTTTCTGAATTTTTCTGGCAAACAGAAAAATTTCCCCCAGCCACTCTTGTCTCTAAGGCCTTTTCCCCCCACCTCTGCTCTACTCAAGCCACCTACTCCTGTGAGGATCCACAGCAGGAAAACCAGACCCTCACAGGCTCCCCCTGGCTCCTGGTCCCTTGGCCTGGCTTTTCATGTCATGGCACGGTACACCAGCACCCTGGGAGACAAATGTGTGTCAGCTTTCACTTTTAATTCCTTTCTCCCTATGTGGTATCGTTATGTGCAGTATAGAAGAAACTTTTTAGTCAGTGATTAGGGTCAGCTGCCTTTTCTGTCCAGCACAAAGTATTTGCAGACCACATTGCCTGTTTTGGTTTCCTGAAAACTGCTGAATAGGTATTGCATTTCTTTGCTTTATCAATTAAAAAAAGTAGTTTTACTATGCCACTTATCCAGCTACTGAAATAATAATGTAATTGGGACAACATAAGAGCTTGCTTAGCAGCTTTTATTTTCTTTTATTTTCATTTCTACAAAAATGTGTCTATTCTTTGTGCCTGACATATGAGTGAACTTAGTAAATGGGACAAAAAGACTATCAGATTGCAAGGCTGTTGCTTTGGAGTTTTGAAGGGTGCAATTATATCAAAAGCCTGAAGCTATTTCTATCTGCAGCCTCCCTCATCCTCAACTGTTAGACTTCTTTTAAATTTAATTTTGATGCTTTGGCTTTTTATTAATATTTTTATTTTAGCAATATGAATTATTTGTGTTCCTGACAGAGAAAATTCTGTTAAGGTTGTTTTTATCAGTAAAGGATGTACCCCAATTCTTCAAATTGAAATTAGTGTGTGCTTTGATGGCTTTGGGAATCCAGTCAGCTGTTATAATACATGCCTACTACATAGTCATGGTCAGTATAGCTTCTGATTTAGACGGGATGGCTTTATCTTATGGCATTCTCAGCAGCTGAATATTTAGTAAAGAGAAAGAACTCGTACCCTCTCTTGGTTTTTAGCCATGTGTTTCAGCCTGTCTCTGCTGAGTTGGGCAGGTGAAAGCATGTCCTACTCTCAGCAGACCTGGCTGGTTGTCCAGGTGGCCCTCTTGGAGCACCAGCCACCAGAATAAGCCCCAGGGAGGGCCTTCCATAAAAACTGACTGTGCAGCTCTTCAATTACTGTAAGCAACATGAAATTTTATGGTGCAACTTCCTCGACTCCCTGTGAGCTGAAGAAACCCATCAAAAATGATGACAGCAAGCAATATGCCATCTGTTTTAGTCACCTCTTTGTGGCTACTGGCAAAATGCTCAGGAGTTGCTATTTTGAAATCTCTTAGCTGGTAATTGTTTAGGGCTGAGCATTTGTTCACTTGTAGGTTTAGAGGTTTCTAGAGTCCCCTGGCAGGTGGTTTTTAAGGAATGTGGTAGTACCAAGCTCTTTCTTAGCACTCATCACCAAAAATCTCACAGGACCACATCAAATGTGTATTGATTTAGTTTTTTTACCAGTAGGTTAAGCTGCAGCAAGGCTGTTTGCTCAAGAGCACATAAGGTTCATGCAGGTTCTACCAGCACTACCTATCCTTCCTCCCAAGCTGTGCTTGAACAAGCCTACCGTTCTTGGCCGTAATACAAAGGGAAATATTAAACTTGAATAGTTAGGAAATGCTTTCAGAAAAATTCCTAGTGGCAGAGTATCTGGTTGCATGACCTTAGAAGCATGAGACACCAGCCATGTTTTCGTTTGGTGGATTGCACAGAGAGAAGCATTGGGCAGTCCTGCAGTTGTGAGGATGAATGCAATGCGTTCTCAGTGGTGTGAGCACAATAGGTACCTCCTGGAAACATGGCTCTAGAAAGCCTGGAGGAGCACAAGTGACCTTGTGCATTGGCTGTGGAGGCTGGGCACTGCGTGTGGCTGAGCACAGAGCAGGGGCAGTTGTAGAACTGGACTGGTGCTTGCAGTTCTGCTGCCAGCCACGTTACTGGCACATGCTGCAAACAGGGATTAAGCTAATTTTTTCCACAAGCCCGGTGTCTTGACCTCCCTGTGCCATTACCATTCCACACCTTTTGGAAATCTGTCCAGGACAGTTAAAGAGCAGCTCTTTCAGCATGCAATTGTTAAATGTATTGCCCTTGAGAGGCACATGCTGTCCTTTTTCAAGACAGTTTAACTCTGAAATTACTTAGCTCATTTGAGCTGTGCTCTTGCTGTACCTCAGTTTGTCTGTGTGTCTAATAAAAAGAAATACTTACCTAATGTCTGTAAATTGCTTTGATATTTAGGCTAAAGGTGCTGACAGAAAAATGCAAGATTAGTAAGAGGGCATTTCAAAGGCATAAATAGGAATTGGAAAGCTAGCTCACTTTCGTTCCTTGTGAAATGCCTTCTGCAAATAGTAATTCACACAGTACTCTAGACATCCAAGATGTGTGGGAAAAATAACTGCAGTTCCATATCTTGTTTGGTTTTGGCTGTCCTGTCCTTATGAATACTAGGAAACAATGAATCAAATGCATTTGTTTAAAACAGTAAACCTCAATGAAACTGCCATGGTATAAATCAAGTTATGGTATGCCTTTAGGGGATTGATCAGTAAAAGCAGCACATACTGAAGGCATAATGCCTTGGTTTGATGCAGCACCTTACTGGGTCTTGAGGGAAGTGGATGGGTTCTGGATTTAATTTCATTTCCCACCTGCTTTTTGGAAGCGAGGAGACCCTTTGAAGCCACTTTGTCTTTGCAGTGGTGATTCAGTGAGTATGCAATGTGACGTGACCTTGGACTGTATCCTGCATTCTTCAGGAGGGAGGAAAAGGACTTTGGGTCTCCCACCTATCCTTCATTGCCCATTAACAGAGGCAGGCATCTGTGTGGCTGTGTTTCAGAAGTGTTCCTCTTTTTATAAATATCTCCATGAACAAAGTGAGCAGCTGCAGTGTGGTTGGATTATCTGTGCTGTGGATGGCAGCAGGAAATGCTGGGAAGTGCCTGGTCTCCCTCTCCTCCAGGGGTGAGAGGTGCAGATGGGCACGGAGCGCCACACCTCTGCAATGGGAAGCTCAGAGTTTGGGCTGGGGAAGGAGCCGCGGAAGCTGAAAACCAAATAATGCCTTGTAGCTCCACAGGTGCGTCTTTCACTGTGTCACAGTGAACATCCCCATTTGGTAACTGCAAAAAAATGAATTCATGCTAGCTAATGGGTTGCTGTTGCCTGGCCAGTGATGAATAGAAAGAAACTGAGTTTGTGGGAAACAGGAACATAAAATTGAACAATTTGTCTTTTAACAGTACTGAGCTGACAGCCACAGGGGCCATACTTGCAGAAATAACAAAGTGATGGTGGAGTGAAACAGGCCTGTCTTCTCACTTGGTCTAAACCTATAATAATGTGTTCTCCACATGCTGTCAGTCTTCTCTGCTATGTGCTTATAGGGTGTTGTGGTGGGACTCCTGATGTTCTTCTGGTTCTGGTTCTTGATGAAACTTCTGGTTCTACCCAAGCTCCTGAGCAGCAAACAGCACCTGGCAAAAGAATGAACTGGGCTTGCTTTCAAGCAGTGGCTGCAAGACTTTCTAGGTGTTCCCTTTATTTTTGGACATCACCTAATCTGTCTGCAGAGTTTTTTGCAAACCTCCCCTTCCCTTTGGTGGCAAGGGTACTTGTGTTAAATTCTGCAGGTGCCTCTATCAGCCTCAGTATATTTTCCTGACTCATGGCTGTGATAATGCTGTGGTTTGTCATGGAAGCAATTATCTACTCTTGGTCCAGCACCAAATTTGTCTTTTCCGTTTGCTGGAGGTCAAGGTTGGGGGGAGAGGCTGCACTTGTACTGTGCTGCAAATGCTCAGAAATTACGGTACCTCCTTCTATATGTGCAGGGATGTAAATCCATACTTGCACTGGTGTGTCAGTATTCTGGAGAATAACATGCATTACCTTCCAGGAAGCATAATGGAACATAATGGTTTATGTTCCTGTAAAACTGTGGCTATGTTTATTTACAAAGGGTATATTTTGTACTATGACTGGAGTACATTATTGGAGGCTTAGAATATGGAAGAATTTTCCCTTCAGATAACATGAAGTTTCAGTCTTAGATTTCTTGTCAGGCATTTTCCTAAGTAAAAACCTAATTGTGACAGTTACAAAACTAATACAACATTCACAACTTGCCCTTTAATTCCATTTGACTGTACATGGTTGCAAGTTAAAGTACTTCAAAGAAGGTAATAGTAACTCATTTAGCAAAAACAAGAATACTGCGTTACTTGATGGTAAATAGAGTAGTCTTCGGTGATGGTGTTTTTCTGTAGCAATGACAAAAGTTACTGATTAATGCCTTTTAAATAGTAGGGAGGAGTATAGTGCTAAACACTTAGCTTTTTCAGATCATGACTGATTTGTTAATGTAAGATTAAGTGGTTTTGGCACTTCAGTGGTACTCATGCATGTATCGTGGACTTGCTGTCAGATTTTCACTGACATAAAGCCCTTGGAGTCTCCCCACTTTCCTCCCTTGGCAAATATCTGAGAATACCCTTGGAATCTTCATGGCTCTCTTGAAAAGTAATCCTGCCACCCTAAAAGGTGCTTCACCCCTCTCTCTTCAGCACTGGGCAGTGCTGGCTGCCAGTGTTATGCGTGTGCTCTGGGACTCCCTGCGCAGCAGGTGCATCACTGGTGCTGCTCACATCACCAGGCACACACTTCCTTCCTTCCACCCACATACACCTCCTCTGCCATGGTTTCATACCTCTATTCCAAAGTTCACGTTGTGCTCTCTCTTTCTCTCCCTCCCCCCAACTTTCTTTTAACAGCAGGAAAGAATTTCGTACACACCTCCAGCGAGCCCGGTACCGAATTACTCTTCGTCACCACTACATGTCCCAGTGGCTCAAGCAGTCAGGATGGAGGACGACACCATCAGACTGCCAGCACACCTGCGTGAGTGTCAGCACGAGGAAGACACGGTCAGACTGCCAGCACACCTACGTGAGTGTCAGCAGGAGGCTGCTGAAGTTCTTGGATTGAAGAGAGGGACAGGGCGGGGTGAGGAGTTACTTCTGGTTTTATAGAAGAGAGCAGGGAAGTCCCTGGCTTTAGACTTTTTTTTGTTTTGTTTTAATAAGCTCTAGCTGGTTTGGTTTTCCTGGCTGTTGTTTTTAACTGAAGAAAGTTACTCTTTATAAATATGGTATGCTGAATCTCCCCTCCCATCTCCTGCACTCCTTGTCAAGCATTTGGCTTGTTTTTCATGATAGGCACAAATATGGAGGTTTATTTTGACGGGAAGTGCTCTGTTTCCTTCCACTTTATTGGAATTGCTCAGTTATATTCTGCAACACAGGGTCAGAGTTTCACCAGCTGTGGCAAGTTGAATGCGTTTGTGCTGTGGCTATTTTCAGGTTCTGAGGGGTCTCAAATACTTGTGATGCCCAGGCTCTCTAGTGTTTTAGCATGATGGCTGCCAGAGGCAGTGGGAAAGGAGGAAGAGTGAGCTTAGCTGTGCACAAAAGGATGCTGCAAAGGAGGAAGGACATATCACTGACATTGGAACAAAAACTGGAGCTGAGGGCAAGATCAGAGCCAGGTATTTCCTTGCTGATATGATTTAATGTTTGACAAATAGGAAAGGCCAAGGACTGTTGGCCAGTGAGAGGTGAATTAGAATGGGGACAAGAAGAGTGGAATTTTCCTTTTTGGAGAGGAAGCAGTTCAGATGGAAATAAAGATGTTTTAGGTAAACTTTTGTCAAGTGTTACATTCCTGGGGTACTTAAGCAACAATGAGTAAGAGGGCCAGGAGCAAACAAAACTTTGTGCTTTGCCCTCTGAGAAATAGGTTTGGGATTTAGCGGGGGAAGTCCGTGTTTTTCACAAGATGCTGTCATTCCTGTCCTCAGCTGTCTTCCACACACACTCCGTTTCTGGATGCAAACTGTGTTTAAAGCATTTCTGTAGTCCTGTGCTCACTCCCTTGCTGGCCAGTGAGTTACTCTGCCCCATGGTCACTCATCCCCATGCTGTGTCTTACATGTCCTGCATGGCCCAGTTTTCTGTGCTTCCTGGTGGGAATGGGAGCTGCTCTGCAGTGTTTCTGACCACGTCTGGTCCCTGCCTGAGCATCCATGAGCTCCCAGACCCGGCTGCACGTGTGTGTGGCTGCTCAGCCATTCCCCAGGCCCGGAGAGGACTTGGCTGCCACACTTACAGGGCATTTCTGTACTTTGCCCAAAGTAGGCACAAAAAAAGCCCAACACAGAAGCAGTTTTTCCCCCAGCAGTTCTTTTCCATACTGGTGCTGTTCATCCCTGGATCTTTTGGCTTTTTTCCTCGTTGCATTAGTTGGTACTGTTTACTTCTGCTGTGGCAGCCACTGTCTGTCCCCTCCACAGCCAGGATCACAACTGGGTTTCCAGTTACTATTGCCCTCCCCACGGCCTGTGGCAGATGCATAAGGCAGGGAGGCAGAGACTCTTGCTACTGAAAGTGGTAGTACATGCTGTACCTGCTTCCTTCCCATCCAGCCAGCATGCTGGATAGTGTTGAATTTATAAAGCTTCCTCTCAGTGAAGACTTCTTTCACACTATTTTTAGAATGTGATCCAACCTTTCACCTTGACTCTTGTTTTGGTTTTTCTGTTCTTTTGCTTGGCACATTTTTAAACTTGCAAGGCTTCTTTCCCTTTAGTATTTCCACACCAGTCTGACTTGTTGCAATGTTAAAGCACAGATGATTAATCATGAAATATCTGTGAAATAGCCTTCCATAAAGTTAGTGTCTGAGGTCATAAACAACATGGAACACATTTACATAGCCTTACTAATTGTAGTCAATGGCAGTGTAGTATTTTGCAGCTCAGTGTGCAGTCAATAGTGACACAAAAGGTTGTCAATCAACAGACCACCCAAACACTGTTAAAACCACTCTAAGTACATAGCTTCATATCTGGGCTAGGAGCAGCCATTGTGAATTTCTAAAATGATCTCCGGTATATCTTTTGTTACAAAACTTCATGCAGTAACTGCTGTGTTTAGGTTCAGTAACTGAGCTACAACATGTGCAGAAAGATTTCTGCTCTTCATGTAAAAAACTTAAGTGATGAGGAGGATATAAGGTCTCTAGATGTTCTTTTAATGCTTAATTATCTCCTTACTTGCCTTTTTTTAAGTGTCCTATTTATAGTTTGAATTAGTCAGGTTCAGTTTCCAACTATTAGATCTCATTATCGCCTTTCCTGCTAAATATTGTCAAAAGACTCCTCCTGATATAGGTGCTTTTAGATTGTCACTTCTTAACCTTTTCTTGGCTAAACTGGAGAGAAAGAAAGGTTCTTAAGGCTATCAGTCTTCCTGTTAAGCTTTCAGATTTCAAATTCTGTTTCTATCACCTCTGTGAACTGACTCCCACTTCAGACATCCTTCTTAAAGTGAAGTCAAACAAAAGTGAAGCTGATATTCCAGTGGTCTTGTGTATAGAAATAACTCAGTTCCTTTTGGATTTCATGTCATAAGATTTTAAGTGGTATTAATATAGGGTTTTTCAGTTCCTGCATGGACTATCTTTTTTTTTTTTTTATTTTTTTTTTTTTTGTTTTTTTTTTTGTTTTTTTTTTTTTTTTTTTTATTTGTTTATATTTAGACATGTGTCTGAGGTACAGCTTTGATCTTAAATCCAAACTGTCTCAGAAGTCAGGCAAAGTAACTAATTTCTAGTTCAGGCTGTGTATAAAGGTTGGGTTTAGGTTTGCAAAGTCTGAGGATTTCCAGGGTCTGAGATTTTGTCAGGTTCCATCCCTACGGTTGTTTTTATTGTTTATGTGGAGCATAATAACTTCTTCCAGCCCTGCCTCATTGCAGTAGAACAGGGAGATGTGGTAAATTCCTGCACTCACACACACACAGCCAATAGGTTGTCAGGTCTGCACTCCTGTTTCCATGACATTCTGATGGTGTTCAGCAACACCAGGGCAGGGTTCAGTCCCAGCCCACACATCTTCACTACCTGTGCCATAGGTGCAGGTGACCCAAAGAGAGACCTAGAGACAAATGTTTCATGTGGAACATGTAGAGCACTCTCTGGGTTCGGGCAGTTTTATGCCTTCTGATAAGAACTTTCACTGTTTCTCATGTTCCAGATCACTCTGAGAGCACCAAGCAAAAGTATCAGAACAGTAAGTAAAGCAATTTCCTTTGATGTGATAAATTATTTCTCTCTGCTTAGTGAGGTAATGAGCTTCAGGTAGGCTGCACTGATTTCATCCAGAGACTGGGAAAAGAGGTGCAGTTTTGAAGGTGGAATGTGGACCTCTCTTTGCTACAAGCTTCCTTCTTTTTGCTCAACAGAACTAAAATTATATAGACAAAAACCTTGGGGTGATATGAAGGCACTTCCCCTTTCTCACACAGCCTTTCATATTTGAAGTAGCTACTTTCTTCCCAGCCAGCCTATTGTATAGAAATGCAGTATAATCAGTCTTAACTTTAAATCTCTGGGACAGTAATAATTTCTGGATAAAACTTAACTTTCTCTGGTGCAGCACTTCTCTGTAAGGGACTTTTGACCCATACTTTTAAACATACTTGACTGCCTAACATTCACTAGGAACAGAGTATTAGGGGCATTGTCAACAAAATATCAGTGGGGAGCCGGGGAGTATCTTTTCCTACATTTCAAGTATGTAGACAGAAAACAGTTGCTCTTTGTCCCTGGTGTGTCTGCCATGGTATATATGATCTCCACCAGACTACGCTAATGTCAGATAGAAAGAGTGTTTGGAAAATTGACATTTTCTTACTGAGGATTGAAGAGAAGCAAGTTCAGTTCACACACAAGGTGCTGCCTTTGGTGCCTTCTGGGACCTTGGACTCCTTGTTTTAGATCCCCAGTGTAAAATGAAAAAAAAACCATGAGTGCAAAGACTCTTAATTGTTTTGAAAAATAATACGGAAACTGCCCAGATATTGTGATAATGAAAATTTAATTTTATTTTTTGTCTCATATGGTAAAATGTTATTAACTACTTATTTTATGCTATGGCCAATATCTTGCAAAAAAAAGTTCTTAGAACTGGATAGAGGATACAGCATATAAGAAATGAATATGAGAACCCTTTTCCGTGTCTATGCTCTGAATTATGGAGAAAACAGCTTTTTCCTTTTTTGTAATATATGAGATTAAAATAAGGCAGTTTGCTTGCTAAAACAGCAACTGTAAATGTGTGCTACAGGCTTAATGGTTTCCTTTTGTTTCCTTCAATATAAAACTTCTTCAACAGGAGAGACAGAAGAAATCCCAGTGCTGAGAAAGGATTTGTTGCATGCTCTGATCCTATGTAACATCATTCCCTTTTCCATGCTTATGTTGATTTGTACAGCTTGATTTTTATCTCTGAAGGGCATCTTCTCTTGGGAGCATGTGTGTGTTTGTTTAGGGAGAGTGATCTCATGGGCAAAGATTTCAGAGTTTTCTCTTGATGCAAACATGAAAACAAGTTCATTTGTTCCTCTGAACTAATTACTCTTCTCTCCTTAATGTTGGCATCCTTCATATGTCTGCAGTCCATTGTCATAGTAAGACATGCTGCGTATACTTTTCTGTGCACAAAAGCAATTCTTCTTGGCAACAATTAATTTTTCTTACTGTTGCCTTTTTTCTGAATCCCTAACATCACTGCAACAGTTTGCACTGATGTTCAGAGTGCAGTGGTACACTTGAGATGTCACAGTATGTGCATCCACCTCATAGGGGAGAAGTTTTGTTGTCTTGACTCCACTTACTTTTGGGGTGTTGTGATAGTAGGGAAAGCTCAAGACCTATTTGTGAAATCATTTGAGTGCTTTTTGTTTCTTGTGTAGGCTTGGGTTCTGGACTTTGGTTTTCCAGTGTGTGAAAAGTTCCACGTCACAGCTGATTTGGATAAACTTCACGTTCTACTTCCCTCACTAAGGACAGAAAGGAAATTTGTTTTGTTTTCTGCAAAGATTATATTAAAGGCCTTGAAGTTTTTACTGAGTGTTTCATAGGAATCTTTCTGCATGGCTATTTGTGTTGTTATTTGGTGGGAACTAGTCTAGTGCTTCTGTATTGGTTTGGCATCTGTGTGACCTTAGCTGTACCATATAATGCAATAAAGTTCTGTGTGGACATGAATAGTAGGGTAGGACAGGTAGTTGGGCAGTTTCTTTAAACTAAGGCATTTATTAGACCTGAAGGCAGTTTGGTGCCAGTTTCTTTCTTCTGATCATGCATTGTTGCTTATATGTATCATTTGTGTTTTAAGGGCACTAGTTTTCTTTTTCTTTTTTTTTTTTTTTCTTATTAAAGGAATGCAGGAAACAATTAAGAGAAGGTGGAGGAAACAACAACACTCAGGATTGCCAGGGATTCATTTTTTTTCTGTATAGTGTCTATTAATTATGCTACTCCTTTTATTAATCCTTTGGCACCTGTTAATTATTCTACAATTTTGGCTAGCAGCTGGAAAGCCACTTTGAAGCATTAAGCATATTGTTGTTTAGTTACTAGAATATTCAATGCACTGAACTGAAAGTATGCAGTGAGATGGGAAAAAAAGCCCTTTACCCTAAGCCACATTTAGAGCAGCAAGCAATGAAAATATTTGCTTTGGAAGGATCTTTGTGGAACAAAACTGACTGACGCACATACAGGGAAAATAAAATAAAAGCTTCATATGACAAAGGGACTGGGAGAGGTGGCCAGAATGTCAAATTACTGGCTGAGACTAATCCTGGTCCTGCTGAAATGAGTGGTTCAATTCCCACTGATTTTCGTGGGACCTGGACTGGCCTCTTTGTCAAATTATTGGCTTCTCCTAGACCTCTCTTAGCTCTTCTCTGACATTATGGCCACTTAAGCCTTGTTCTTCCCTCTGACTGCCTTTGCCTTTTCTCCTAATCTGTTTTTCACCTTATATGTAACCAATACCAACCCATGACAAAAAAAGAAAAAAATTAAGCCTGGCAATGGCACTGCTTGCTAACACCTTATTGCAGTATTTAATCTTGATATTACATCTTTGTCTTCTACCACAGGCTATTCTTGCACATTTTATTGTGAGCTATTCAGAGAGGGTCCATCCAGCAGTGCCTTCTGGTATTTCAGTTTATAACTTACTGACAGGCTGACTGGAGTGTGGAAATCCCAGCCAGCCATCCTGTCAGCCTCAGTACCCATTACTTTGGTTAACCCCAGCAAAGCTCCTACAGGACTCTGAGCTGTGTCCAGTTGTTGGGCAAACAGTTGTTGAGCTGGGGGGGCACTGATCATGCCTCTAACCTAAGGTAGGCTGTTCCACAGGTACCCTCTGGTGCTCACCTGAACTGAACTCATCTGCTCCACCTTGCATCCCAGGGGTTTCTTACTGTGAATCTCAGGCCAGCCTCAAAGAGATCATCCAAACAGGGAACTTGGATGGGTGGGAAGCCCAGTCTGAGCCGCTCCTGTGCCATGGCTGGGGAGGACATTGAGACACTTGAGTGCTTCCAGAGGAGGCAAAGAGGCTGGTGAGGGGCTGGGAACACAATTCCTGTGAGGAACAACTGAGGAAGCTGGGGGTGCTCAGCCTGGAGAAAAGGAGATCAGGGGTGACCTTATCACTCTCCACCACTCCCTGAAAGGTGGCTGTGGTCAGGCAGGGGTCAGTCTCTTTCTCCAGGCAGCACTGACAGAATGAAAGGACACAGTCTCAAGCTGTATCAAGGGAAATATAGGTTGGCTATTCGGAAAAAGTTTTTCACGGAAAGAGCGATAAAGTTCTGGAATGGTCTGCCTGGGGAGGTGGTGGAGTCACCATCCCTGGATGTGTTTAAAAAGACTGGATGTGGCACTCAGTGCCGTGGTTTAGTTGAGATGTTGGGGTTGGGTTGGACTCGATGGTCTTGAAGGTCTCTTCCAACCCAGTGATTCTGTGAGTTCTCTGAATATAGATGCTAATGGTTTATACTGACTGTGTTGCGCTGGGAAGAGTGAAACACCATTACTGATTCTGCTGGGAAAATTGTGCCCTTTGGATCATGAAGATCCTGCTTTGCATTTATCTGGCATGGTCTTTGTTCATCACCTGTAGGAAACAAACCCCCTTGTCACTGGGTTTGCACTGGAGTGACACAGGGCCCCTTCACTTGTCACTTTTGCAAACAGCTGGTGAGTTTAGCCCTGAATCTATTAACTCCTTACTGCTGCCGGGTGGCAATGGCAGAAGCATCCAGGTTGAGTGATGAAAAAACTTGTAAAGGAAGCTGACTTTGTGAGCTGCTTTCTGCTCCTTGAGACATTATAGAATCAAGTGGTTTATTTTTCCCAGTGTGCCTGGTTGTTGCCCAGAGTTAACAGCAGTTTCCTGCTCTGACCGTTCCCAGTGGAAGCGTGTGGAGGGGTAAGAGCCTTCCTGCCTCAGTGGGAACTTGCAAAGCAATCCTAATTTGGGAGGTCAGAGAGACCTGTGCTTCAGGATCCAGAAAGCTGGCAGTGTGGGTGGGAGTCCCAGTGGTGCTAAGCCAGTCTTTTACCCTTTTGGAAAGCTTCACTGTAGGGTTTTAAATCTCCAAAATACACGTTCATCTCTATTCAGAGGGGAAAGGAAGCCATGTCACTTTAATATGAGATTCAAGCTTGATCCCTTGTGGAATTCCCCTGGAAAGTGTGGAGAGAAATAAGAAGCAGAAGCAGCAGGACATTTATGGTATTGCTGGGTTTGAAGCATTTTTAGCTTTGTCTTAAAGGGCCATTGTCAAGATCAGTGTACCTAAAATCAGCTTGCTTTTCTCTTTCCATCCCAAATGTCTGTTTGATTTTTCATGTATATTATGTTGTAACTGCTCCCGTGCTCTTTTTTAAAAGTTATTTTTGTAAGAAATAAAATGAATGCAAAGAATGCAGCATTCATAAACAGCCATACAACTGGAGAAAACACAGAAGAGAAACTGCGTGCAAGCCATGACTAACAACTCCACAATAAGAAACCATTGTGTGGTGAGAGCCTTGCAGCAAAACACAAGTGTGGTAAAAAGCCCTGCAGAAACAGCATAGCGTCATGATCTTTTAACAGAGATGAGCTGCTGCCTCTAGGAAGAAAACAGCTCTGTCCAGCACTGAGAGGGACATAAAGTGTCTAAGGAGAAAGCTGCTGTAGCTTTGAGGTCCCAGGAATTA